GGAAACAGTTTTTTGTGCGTCTTTTTATGTTTTTAAACCAAAATCTATTTCTTCTTCTTATTTTAATATATGATGTAAATGGACTAAGATAAACCTCTAAGAAATTAAAATGTTGTAAAATTGTCATGCTGTCCTCGTATTTCATTTTTATATGATTTTTTACATTTTCACCAGTATTTGAAAAATAAAATATTGCCATTTTTGTGGTAAGATGGATATACTGAGCTCAAAAATCACAGTAGGAAAAAAAGTATATCAGTTTTAGAGTGCTGGTGGTCTCTAGTTAAGTTTACAAAAAGAAATTACTTCAATGTAAAAGTTGGTTTTGAAGGGTTTTGCTCAACTCTGGCCGACTGTGCAGTGTTAGGAATGTCTAGTTAAAATTTTTTTGCTTATTTATAAAAACAAATGGAAGACAAGTTGAAAGTTAACATACTAATATTTTTATTAACAAACAATTTCATTGTTTTTTACGTAAACACTAAAAAAGGATTGCAATAAATTACATTACGCTTTAGAAAAGGGGAACGGTTATTGGTTTTGTGACGACTCGTAAAGGACTCAAACCCAAAAAATTTTTAAATTAGAAAAATCTTTATTTTCCAACGAACGCAAGTTTCCGGTCTAAAAGACCAAAGTTATGCAACCATTTACAAGTAGCATTATTAAATATTTTTGTATTTTTTATAAATAGCATTATTCAGGGGCGAGTTTTGGGTTAGTCTTGTTAGGCGCATTGACTAACATCTTTTTTACTAAACTAAACAACAATTAGGCTAATGAAATATGTTATATATTTTTGAAATTTTTGAAATTTAATAAAATCTCTATTTTTTTGGTCTAAACAGCAATACCTAATAAACCATGATAAGTACATGCGCATGTAATAGCCCGTGTCGAGCGCGGCTTGTAATTATTTTTTCGGTAGCGCAACTTTGGACTAAAGTTAGTCGACTTATCTGGACCGTTTATTCGGCTGACGAGATTTTAAAAAATTATTTAAGTCCTTTAAATTTTTGTTCGGTAACGTAACTTAAGGCCAAGTTAGTCAAAAAAATCTTGCGACTTATCTGACCCTTTTATTCGGCTGACGAAATTTTAAAATGTTGTAAAACATATTTTCTTAAAAAATGTTTCATATTTTCTTAAAAAATGTTTCATATTTTCTTAAAAAATGTTTCATATTTTCTTAAAAAATGTTTCATATTTTCTTAAAAAATGTTTCATATTTTCTTAAAAAATGTTTCATATTTTCTTAAAAAATGTTTCATATTTTCTTAAAAAATGTTTCATATTTTCTTAAAAAATGTTTTATATTTTCTTAAAAAATGTTTCATATTTTCTTAAAAAAATTTATGTTTTCCTAATAAATGTTTTATATTTTCTTAAAAAATATTTATATTTCGCATAAACCCTGTAATTTTAAAATTTCCACCCATCAATCAAACTTAAGTTTTAATCCGCTTGATCAAAAAACGCTGACAAATGAAATTTTAAAAATTAATAAACCGTGTCAAAATGATTATAAGCACAAAAAAAATATTTCTTTATCAAATGGATACTAAAAACAATGTCAATTAAAAACAAAATATGCGATTTTTTTAAATGTGTTGGAGAGTTTTTAAAATTGATATTCAACGGATTTGCACTTGTTACATTTTTCAAAATAACCAGCATATTCGTTCATTTTTTTCAATTCTTTAGATGAAAAGTTTTTCATACAGTTCTTCAATCAAAACTTTCATTTCATCTCGAATATATATATCGGAACAACAATCAGAAGCTATATAATTAAATAAATTTGCCATTTTCCCAAGTTTTACTTTATCGTGCCATTTTTGAGGCTCTTGTCTTGTATTTAAATGCCATTCATTTTCTTGACTTTTAATGATTCTATTGAATATTGCATTAAACATAAATAATAATATTTTTCTTTACACCAAAAACAATTGTGAACGTGTATATGCAATTTTTTCTTTTGGGTTCATCATCTTCGCTATCGTCACTATCAATACTATCCTCGTCTAAATGACGTTTTCTACCTCTTTTTTCTTCCTCCTCGATTTTGATTAGCAAACCCCTTATGCCTTGAGATATCTTTTTTTCATTTTCTAGCAAGTCGATAAACTCTTTTTTAAGTTTAGTTACATTCATAAACGTGTTTATGTAATCGTCAGACTGTTTAGCATCAATCACTTTACTATCTGATTTATTAATAATGGTTAAAAAATGTTTTTTGTTTTGTTCTTCATCACTTCTTTTTGGTACTTCAAGACCAAAGAGTTCGTGTAAAGCGTATGATTTAAAAGGTTTCTTGTCTTCTTCGTCACTTCTTTTTGGTATCCTAAAGAGTTCATTTAAAGCGTCTGCTTTCAAAGGTTTTGAAACGTTTGGATTCATTTCTTGAATGATCAAATCTGAAAAAACTTACTCCTTTTATACAAAAAACACACAAAAGAATTCTATATTTAGTAACATTAAATCTAACTGACATTTCTTT